GTCTGCCATTTAAATCACTTTTGTCTATTTCGAAGCTTCTCATAATGAAAATAATAATTGTAACAAAATGTGTTCATTGTAATGTTCAAGGGTAGATTTAAAGTTTTTGTTAAACTTTGCACGTAGATGACAGAGAACAAGTAGATTTTTTTATTTTTATAGAAGAACCCGTAGAAGTTTTAACAGATATTGTTAGCGATACTAACACTTCAAAGCCCAACTGGACTTACCAGAAAAAAAGTAAAAGCGGGAGATATATTACTTATTACGGCACAGATTATGGTTAGTTATAGATTATAGATGTTTTTAGTTGGATTTTTATTGAATTAATATGCTGTTGATTTGAAATACTTCCAAATTAATAAAAGAAAATCAATCAGTTTTAAACCATTCTGTAAAGTTAAGATTAACGTTTTTAAAATTATGTTCATTTGTTATCTATTTTTGTGCAATTATACAAATGATAAAAATTCAACTATATATTCATCATTTTATCGATGTTTTTGTCTACTGCTTATCTAATTTTATAGATTTATTTAGAACACTTGACTAGATGTTATCAGCATCCGCCATTTTGTATAGGTGTGGTTTATGTCAACATAAAATAAATATGCTTTTGCTTGGTTTACTAACGCTTTCTATAACTGGTGGCTGTTTAATTATTTAATGAGTCATTAATGCAAACATTTTCAATGCCGATGTTTTGATGATCATGTTCTAAAATTTTGAAATAAAATAAGGATGTAATACCTACTAGTATATTATTAATGATTTAACAATATTCGTTGTTTTAAAAACGTGTTTATAGAAATTTCTAAAAAGTCCTTTAATTTTCTAATAATTTGGTATGTGATTAGAAAACAAAATGATTTCATTGAAAAGAATTAATATAATTTTGAAAAATTTTAAACATGTTTTAGGTATGTACAGCTATTCTTTGTCTCATTATTTAGCTATCGAAGGACCAAATTACTACTGCAGACATTTGCAGGAATAACTTCCTTATGAATAGTCCCCTCGCACTATATTGCAGGGTGTTTATAAAAATCCACTAATTCTGTGATTCATCTACCACATCAAAACATTTAATTAACCGCAATCTAAACATCTCGTACCACTTGACAACTGACGTTATTAATCTGTCCTTGCACCACCAACAAACTAAAATCTGCTTCCGTTAAAGGTTTACTGTAAATAGTGTACGTATAGGTCCTTGGCACTAAACATATTTAACATTCATAACTACAAGGGAATTACACTACAAATACATTAAAGAATGAATTAGAGTAAAAATTGTGTTTTCAGAAAAGGACAAATCGTATTAGACATTATTAAAAAATAGAAAGCACACATCGGCCTTTATACTCTTAGAAAAACCCTTCGAGTGTGTACAAAGACAAATAGTATGGATAGTTTAACAGTAAGAGGAATGGGTAAAAAACTTATAGCAGCAAGAAAAACTAACAGTAAAAGAATAATAAATAATATGAAAAAACATAATTTGAAATATTTGTAGTTAAGACAAAATATTTGATAATGTCTTTTTGTGAAAATTTCATTTTATGCACAGGCCTTTTTATATGTATGCAGTTAAATGGTAACTAATGGTAATCAGTGAATTAATTTAAATAAAACATAGAAAATGAAATTTTTTATTAGATTTACGAACTAACACTATCTGAAATTAATGATTACAAGAGTTTCACTAATTCTATCACTAAATTCTGATAAAATTTATAAGCAAAATGTAAAAGCTGCCATCCCACTCAACACCAATAAAAAATAATACTAAAATTGTAACTAAACTAATTAAAACTAATTAAAATGCATAAGAAGTTTATAACTAAGGAGTTAAAAATTAGAGAAATATAACAAAAACAAAAATAATAAGAACTGAAAATATATCTTAGGTGAAAAACAAGAGAGAAAAAAACTTTGTTTAAATAATTATGATATGCAAATTTTGGCCTTTCTCTGATAACGAAATGAAATATGGCCCGAAGGCATGTAAAAACGTTGTACTTTAATAAACTTCACCTGTGCCAATCACTATCCTGAGCAAAGTAGTTAAAAAACATTTTTTATTCAAAAAATCACGTAAGACATGATAGTGATAATTTCTTTTGCACTGAAAGTTTTACAAAAAAAATAACATATTCAAATATTTCTTGAGTACATCGTTAAAGGGAAAGATCGCACAGAAAACATTTATTTATGATTAATAAGTAAAAACCATTAAAACTATGATTCAATGTTTGCTGATTTTATGATTTATTTGTATACTTATTGTTGTGATTCATTTTTACAGGTTGTCATAGAAACAACAAAAAATTACTACGATTATAGTTTAAAATACTTGTCTAACAAGAGTTTATAAATATTATTTAATTATTAACTCTCTGTGCAAATTATTTATCCAATACCATCCTTATTAATTTATTAATTTTAGGTATAGGGAATAAGACTTTAATTAGGATACTTTCAAATGGTGATATAAATGATCAAATCAAAAAGATTGAAGGAATGGTGTATTTGAATTTTGACTCACCCTGTACAGATTTATTTCAAATTTAAAAAAAAGTACATCGGCATAAAATTTTGTCTATCGAAAAACTTTTCAAAAAAAATTGGTTTTCAATATACGATTTTCATTTCGTAGCGTGTGAAATACCCTGTATAATCCTATAATATTTGGTATTGTTATAATGGAAAAAGCGAGGACAATTCGAATAAAATTCAAATAAAATATGGGGTGGGGTGTCCAATTTAAAAAACTTAACTTTGATATGTATCACTTTCTTGAAGAGCCCTGTATAATTGAAATTATTTTTAAATTGTTGTCTTTTCTGATAATTATCACGCTGTGAATACAGAAAAAAATCAAATAGTTTTGGTGCTACAGACCAAGGCTTTACCTGTGGCTTATCCTATAGGTTTCAATATACAAGAGACCGATTGCAGAGTTAACTGCACTCATAGAAAACATAGTGAATAAAGCAAATATCATTCAAACGGATATAATAAAAAAAGATATTCTTACAAAAATCGATAATATTGAAAAAAGTGTAGAAGATAACACAAAAAAAATAACTGCTCTTCAAACACAACTCCAAACATTAGAGCGAAAAGCAAAGAAAAACAACATAGTTATATTTGGTTTGATCGTGAAAAACAAGCCAGATCTGTTACTTGAAGTGCTGGACAAATTAAACAATCTTCTGGGGACTCAAATTGGGTGTCAAGACATAAATAATATATCTTTATTAAGTACGAAAGATAATAACAGCAGTCATATTGTCCTGGAATTCGTATCATTCCTACGGAAGAAGGAAATATTTAAAAATGTAAATAAACTAAAAGGGACCGGCATATCTATAGCTAATGACGCCTCATATGAAGACCTAATTAGACACAGAACATTAGTGCGTCATCTAAAACAAGCTAAATCTCAAAAATTAACTGCCAAGATTAAAGGATTTCTTTTAGAAGTGGAAGATAAGTTATACAGCGTAGAAGATCTAATAAAATTAGAAGAAGAAGCAATATCTAGCGAAAGTGAAGGGGAAGAAGACACTAATTCCAAGCAGATAGAGACATCAGAAAAAAAAGTAGGGAATAATAACCGAAGGTGTAGTAAAATTCATTACAGTCCAAAGACTAGAAGTGCTCGATTAGCAATTAAGTAACCATTTAGTAATTACTTCATTTACCTACCTTACTTTAAATTATTCGTTTTGTACCTAATAATTAAATATTATACCCATTAATAATTTTCTTTTTACCTTGGTGGAATAACTAATTTGAATTTTAGGCTAATAGATAACTGAATATAAGTAAAATTGTTTTATTAAATGAGTGGTTTTTTGAAGGTAGCACATATTAATATTTGTTCGTTGTTACCAAAACTTGATAATGTAGCAGGCTTTATTTTTGAGAAAGACTTTGATATTTTCTGTGTGTCAGAGTCTTGGCTAAAGCCGACGATACCAAATAACGTGATAAGCTTAGCTGACTATAAATTAGTACGACAGGATCGAAATCTAAAGTGTAGAGGTGGAGGTGTATGTATTTATTTAAAAAATCATTTAAGATTCACAGTTGTCGAATCTGACAAAAAAATCGAACAACTATGGATTAAACTTAAAATAAATAAATTAGTTTTAGGTATTTGTGTTGCTTATAGACCTCCTGACTATATACTTAATGATTTTATTGAAGTTTTTGAACAAACTGTAACAAATTTAGCTGCGGAATTTGATGAAATATTATGTTTGGGCGATTTCAATGTTGACCTGCTGAAAATGCACTCAACTAAAGCTAAGAAAATAAACTCCTTGTTAGAAAGTCATGATTTAATACAAATTATTGATAAACCAACTCACATAACTCCGACCTCTGAAACATTAATTGATTACTTAATAACGTCTAACCGTGACTTAATTAAATCATTTGGCGTTCTTCCCGCAGATCATATGACAAGTCATGAACTCATTTATTGCATACTTAATGTTTCTTCTAACAATTCTAAACATGTTTTTAAAATAGTAAGAAATTTTAAAAACCTTGATGAAGATTACTTTCTATGTGATTTGAATTCTATACCTTTTGACAACATTTTTAGCTTGAACAACATTGATGAGAAAATAAATCTCCTAAATAATTCAATCATTTCGCTTTTCAATAAACACGCACCCTATAAAAAGATAAGAATCACCAAAAAATATAATGCTTGGTTAACAGATAACATTAGGTATATTATGTCATTACGAGATAAAGCGAAAGAAAGATGGCAAAAAAGCAAAAAAGTGAGTCACTTAGAATACTACAAAATGTTAAAAAACTATACTACTTTAGCCTGCAAAAATGAAAAAAAAGCATATTTTGAATACAAATTAAGAGTAGGAGGTATTAATAATATGTGGAAAAATTTAAAACATCTAAACATCGGAAAAGAGTCACATACTATACCCAATACCTTATGTAACCCCACCAATTTAAATAAATATTACACTTCATGTATTCCAAACTTACCTGCAGATCGAAAAGTCCTTGATAGTTATCTTAACAATATCCCTTCGCGTGACAAAGTTTCTTTCACTCCAGTTACAAATGATAGAGTCAAAAAACTACTGTACTCAATCAAATCAAATGCTCAAGGTTCTGATGGCTTAAATATAAAAATGTTGCTTCAATGTTGTCCCTTAATAATTCCCTATGTCTCACATATAATTAATAGTTGCATTAACAAACAATACTTCCCTAGAAACTGGAAACAAGCACTT